GCGCCACATCCCAGTCTGAGCCACAGAGTTTCCTCTTCACAGTGTCAGGGGCTGAGAGACATCATTACGCCTTTCCTCTCTCCCTCTCTTTCTCTCTCTCTCTTTCCTCCTAACACATGTAAAAGAGATAAACAAACCCAGTCAAGAAAAAGAGTGAGAGAGAGAAAAAAAAACGACATAAACAAAAGACACAGAAGACTAGCCACTCCCCCCCCCCCACCCTCACACATACACAAAAACAAACACACTAAACAAACCCTCCCCCTCAAACAGAAAAGACGACACAAGGCCATAATTAAAAAAAGAAAAGAAGGATGGCACCGCACCGGAAGAGGAAGAAGCGACCCGCCTTCAGCGAAGAGGAACTCCGCGTCCTCCTGCAAGAGGTGTCGAAGAGGAAGAAGGTCCTTGTGGGGAAATTCGACGTGATTTCAGTCACCTTCCAGAGCAAGGTCGAGGCCTGGGATTCTGTGACAGAGGCCATTAATGGGGTGAGCCGTGTCACGAGGGAGAGGGAGGAGGTGAGGAGGAAATTCGCGCATCTCAAGTGGTTCGTGAAGAAGAAGGCCAAGGCGTGGGGGAGGAGAGGTGAGAAGAGGGATAAAGGGGGGAATGAGGGGGAGGAGGATGAGAGAGTGAGTGGTTGATGGAAGTGAGGGGGAGGAGGAGGACGAGAGAGTGAGTGGGTGAGAGTGGTTGATGGGAGTGAAGGGGAGGAGAAATGAAAGGGATAAAGGGGGGATAAGGACAGAGAGATAGGGATAAAAGGGGAATAGGGGTGAGAGGGATGAATGGGAGAATAGGAGGGAGAGGAGGAGAGGTGAGAGAGGGATGAGAGGGGAATGAGGGAGAAGAGAGTGAGTTGGTGAGAGTAGCTGATAGGTGTGATAGAGAGGAAGGTTGAGAGAGGGTATAGAGAGGAAGATAAAGAGGGGATGAGAAAGGGGAGAATTAGAGGGAAAAGGATTGAAAAACAGGAAGAGGAGAAGAATGAAAAAATGTGTGGTAGAGAGAGAGTGATGGGAGTGAGGGAGAGGAGAGGTGAGAGAGGGATAAAAAGATGAATCAGAGATAGATGAAAGGTAGATGAGAATGAGAATGGGAAAATGAAGAAGTGAATAAGAGATAATGAAAATTTGCTTCTTATGTAATTGCAATACAGATGATAATAAAATAATAACATTGATTAACAGATTGTCACTTATTTTTGAAGTATTGCCTGACTGCTAGGTTTAATGTATATATCCTAAGCTAAGCCAATAGTGCCAATATGAAATTCCCTGTTTTTAATCCAAATTTTGTCCCATCAGGAGATTAATTTGTATAAAATAAGAACCAGATACTCATGCCCTAAGAATAACTAATATAATTAACAAGCTTTTTTTTTTATTCCTTAATGAAAGGGGGTAAGACAAGCAACGCAGATACCTTAAGCGACCCGGAGGAGGCAATGTTGTCGGTGATAAGTGAGACGGTGAGCAACAGTCTCTCCAGTGTTTGTGAATCTGAAACTCCTTTGTCTGTGTGTGAAGGTAATTTTAAACATTTGAATTCTGTAGAAACTACTGTCAGTTGTAGTCATTTGTGTCTTGACAAATATATTGGTCTAAAAGTTTTGAAAGGATATATTATCTGATTTCATTTTTAGAATAATAATGGTAATAATAACTCCCATTTATCATCATCATCATCATCATCATCATCATCATCATCATCATCATCATCATCATCATCATCATCATCATCATCATCATCATCATCATCATCATCATCATCATCAATCATCATCAATCATCTTCATCTTCATCTTCATCTATTACTGTTTATGTTTTTGAAATTATCGTTTTATACAATAGAAAGTTTGAAATTAGGCTCTCAACCTGAGTTCTTCATTAAAGCCTTATTAGTTATGTAATACATTTTTTACTAATAGATGGTAACAAAATATTTGAAAGGTGACTCCATGTACAAAAATGTATAATTCTGACCAGGATTGTGCTTTATATACTCAAGAAAAGCACTTAATATGTCCCTGTTTTGGCTTTTGCAGAACTGATATTTTCCTTCTATGGAGTCCTTTAGTTGTAATTTATTTTATTGTATAGGAATGGTAATAACAGTAATAATAATGGTAATATATCTATATTTGTTTCTATTCATATATATATATCTGCCTATCTCTCTATCAGTATTTATATATATCTTTATCTATGTTTATATACATAATGTACATATTCATTCACTAACTCACTCATTCACTAACTCATGATACTGTGTGTCTGTGATATTTTCGCCCTTGAGTGTTGTTGTATTTTTGCATAATATTACATTACATTAATTCAAATATCTGTCAGCAAGATTCACTTTTATACCCAAATATCTATATTTAAGCCCTGTTGCTGTGGTATAAAGAAAATATCTAATCCACAGTGAAAAAGACTACATAATATTCAACACATCCAACTTCTTACCACCTCAGCAGACAGTAGTGAAGCAGTTAGCCCGACTCCCTTGAGATCAGACACAGAAGACCACAGTGTAGGGAAAAACGACGTCATCAGTGCCAGTGCAGGTCATTCATTAAGAGGACTTCGGAACTTTAGGATGACTAGGAGAGAGGCAGATACTGTTCAAAGTGAGTATTTTTGCTGTTTTTTTTTTTTTTTTTTTTTTTTTTTTAGAATGTTGAAAGTGAGTATTTTTTTTTTTTAGAATGTTGAAAGTGAGTTTCTTTTATTATTATTATTATTATTATTATTATTATTATTATTATTATTATTATTATTTTGTATAATTAGTTATTGGGGTCAGCAACATGTGATTAGATTATTATGATAAGAAATGAAAGATCCTCATATTTTGACTTCCAGAGCTTTATGACGACACTGATGGGACCCCAATAAAAATAGAAAATGAAGAGACAAATCCGGCTCAGACTGATATTAGTGACGATGTTATGAGCAGAAACACGATGGAAGGCCTACGACATTTCCGGATAGATAAGGAGGAAATTAGCAAAGATCAGAGTGAGTCTTATGATACTGTGTGTGTGTCTTTGTATGTGATATTTTTGCCCTTGAGTGTTTTTGTATTTTTGCATAATATTACATTACATTAATTCAAATATCTGTCTGCAAGATTCATACTCTCTTTTATACCCAGACATCTATATTTAAGAAAGTACATTCACAGCCATGTCGCTGCGGTATTTTAGGAAGGAAATGAAATCCAGTGGAAATGCAAAATTAACCAAGAAGGACCACCACTCAAATTCAAAAAAAAGTAAGTATAATGTCACATTGTGTATTTAGGTTGGAATTTTTATCTTTTATAATATTAATGTGTTGTATGTATGTCTGTTATGAGTCTATTTAGTGCCTTTCTTGTATAGCCTAAGAAAAACCTTATATATGTTTAATTTGATAACACCATTATTTAAAAGTCTAAAAAAAAAATACATGCAGAAATTTGAAGTAGACAGTAAGTAGTGAGAATCTCATAACAGCAAAAGGATATATATTCAATGGGTTTACAAGGGATATATTATTTCTTAGTGTATTTGTCATCATTATTATAGGTTTTTGTTATAGTAATTTGAAAACAATAGACCTTGCCATTATTGAATGTTTAATTTAAAAAATTTCAAAGAAACACACCTACAAAAATACCCATGTACAACTGAATATGTATATACCTCTCTAGATAAATAAATAGATACAGGCATAGATATAGGTATATATGCATTTGTTAATATTATCCTTGAAGTCTAATCAATAAATTCTGGGTCATCCATTACAGAACTCGAATTCTGGAGTCATGAAGGTGTGCTCCAACTAGTAGAAGCATACAGGAGCCATATGCACATGTTCAGTATGACCTCTCTGAATAGTAGCCAGATATGGTGTAAAATTGCTGAGGCATTACAGGACAGTGGCTACACATACACAGGAGGATTATGTAAAAAGAAGATGCAGAATTTAAGTACTAGGTAACTGATGACAAATATGCTGATAAAAAATTATGGAATAATAGAAATATCACAGAATATTTAACTAATGTAATTAAGATATAAGCTAAATAAGTACATTATTTTAATGTTGTAATTTAATGTGTCTGCTATAAGATCCACCCTTATATTTTAGTTACAAATGCATCACAGAAGATTCCTTGAGCATGAAAAATATTTTATACAAATAATGAGAAGGTAGCACATACTAGTTACCATTTTGTATTTTTTATCACTTTTATAATTATGCCTTTGTATTTAATCACTTCTAATTTGTCTACCACTCTTGTATTTTAGGTACAAATCCATCACAGAAAACCAAGAGAATAGCAGAGGAAGGATCAGAGGGAGTGATTGGGAATATTTTGACACCATGCAGGATCTCTTTGCCGGCAACGCAAGTGGAGATACCTCGTTCGAGACCTCCTTAGGCCTTTCGTTACCTACTGGCAAGTTTGATATCTGTTTCTTGGGGATATTTGGTTATTTTGTCAACTTTCTTCAATTTTGAATTGGATTTAATCAGTGAAAATGTATTTTTGTTTATTTGTTTCTTTCTCTCTTTTCTTTTATGGTTATTATTTGTGTAATAAGTTGTCTGTACTTTATGTAGGCCATACCTTGAAGTAAATAGTTATACCTTTTATTCTTCTCTCTCTCTCTCTCTCTCTCTCTCTCTCTCTCTCTCTCTCTCTCTCTGTCTCTCTCTGTCTCTCTCTGTCTCTCTCTCTCTCTCTCTCTCTCTCTCTCTCTCTCTCTCTCTCTCTCTCTCTCTCTCTCTCTCTCTCTCTCTCTCTCTCTCTCTCTCTCTCTCTCTCCCCCCCCCTCTCCCTCTCCCTCTCCCTCCCTCCCTCTCTCCCTTCTCCCCTCTCCCTCTCCCTCTCCCTCTCCCTCTCCCTCTCCCTCAACCCCGAGTGAATATTTTTTCTAGTTTTGTTCACCTACAACTACGTATCATAATTTTTAAAAAGTAAATGTTTTGAACTATATTTCAGACCCTGATGATGATCCATTACAAGTGGATGAAGTCAAGACAGAGCAAGACTGTCCTTCACCAGAATACATTGATGTCTCTTTACCGTGGAGTGGAGTTAAGACGGAATTCTGTCATTCATCATCAGAGCCTGATAGCAACTCTTTATCATGGGATGATGTTAAAATTGAGGAGAGCTCTCTTTTCCCAGAGCCTGTTGAGGATTTACTGCCCATGGGTTGTGTCAAAGTTGAACTTTGCTCATCGTCTCATATAGTACATTAACCCATTGCCGCTGGGGTAAAAGAATAAAAAAATGAGGAAAATGCTGTACTCATTTTTTATATTTTTGTGAAATATATCTGTACATAGATGGCTCTGCTAGCCCTGATTTCACCTATCCTTGAATTGGCGGGAAAAAACTATAAATATAGATGGTGTTATTTTTAACAGCAAATTAAGATTACGTTAAATATTTTCGTAAATTGATGAAAAGGGTGAACGGGCGAGACAGGCAGTACTCATAATTAGCTCACTGGTGACTTAGTACAAGTGTAGCCATCTATGTGTAAAAACAATGGAACAAGTCGACTCACAGTGAGCATGGCATATACGTACGTGCCATCCCCGGCGGCAATAGGTTAATCAAATTGAACTGGTTAATAGGATACCAGGAGAGTGGACCATATATTTATTAAGTATATTTATTTATTTTTCAAAAATATACTTTACAGATTATTTAGAAATTGTGTAATTAACCTTTGTGACAAGACTTATTTAATATAATCCATTCCCCACAAGGATTACATTTATTAAATGATATAGTACATGTTGTGGGAGTAATGATTCAAGGTATATTTTGTCTTACAAGCATAGCCAATGTATGTATAATTGATACTGAGAGGCTGCCGCTATTCCTCACTGGTACTATCCATTAGTCCAGGTCCAGACCTCTCATTTCCTTTTCATGTGTGAGGAATTAGGAAAATAAGAATGAAAATGTATTTACTCTTTATTTTTGTCTTTGTGCAATACCTCAGAAATATGTGTGTCCATTATGGACATCATTTATCATTTCATTTCTTTGTTTTGTGAGGTAGATGTTCACTATCTGAGGTCGGGGGAAAATACCTTCATCATCATCATCATCATAAGGGGGCATACGCATGGCTGTGCTTTGCCGTGCCCAACCTTTGCCTCCACCTCCTGGGGTCCCTCCGAGCAAGCCTCCACACAGCATTCCTTCCCTCCCTCAGCACATCTTGGCAGATCAGATGTCCTTCATCATCATTATCTGGGATGTTGCCATACAATGCTTGTGTATTGCAGACAATGCCTTCTTGTTTACCACTTAGTCTCTTAACTCTACGCTTAAACAAACAAAGGCGGCGCGCCGACTTTGAGCGCGTGAGTAGGGGACATCAGCCCGAATCACTGGCTCGCCGCGCTTTGGCGCGCCACCGGCTCGTTTGGCTGCACGCCAGCTTTCGAGCTCTTTGTTTACACGCCGATCGGCGTCACCCGGCACCCAGGGGTTAAACAGCAAAAATATATATTGCAAGGCCTGTCAGCAAGGTGTTGAGGAGTAGGATTACCTTTAACATATACAAATTGATATTAATTAAGTAGATATGAATTATACAAAAGTGCCAGCAATAGTCAATGTACTACTTTTTAAATCTGCAATGTGATATTTCTAAGCACAATAAAACATTCTTTGTTTCTCTTATAAAAGGAAATAAAAGTATGATATGAAAATAGTCACAAGAATAAATATTGTTATTTTAGAAAATTCACAAGAAAACATAGGCCTGGAGTTTAACAATATATTAACAAAAACAAATAAAATATATAATATTAAAGAATTTAAACATGTTATGTAATTTTTTTTAGAAATATAGCAATTAGCATGCTTTACTTCTACACACAAGGTACAATAGACTCACTTTATTTACTGAATGCACAACCAAAGGTATATCTACTGATTCGCTTCAATAATTGTAGTGATAAATTAACATATACATACACACACACACACACACACACACACACACACACACACACACACACATATATATGTATTTATGTATTTGTGTATAGACATGCATACATATATATATATATATATATATATATATATATATATATATATATATATATATATATATATATATATATATATATATATATGTATATATATATATATGTATGTCTATACACAAATACATAAATACATACATACATATATATATATATATATATATATATATATATATATATATATATATATATATATATATTTATACATAGGCGTAGGGGCTTTTAAAATTTAGGGGGAGCTGCAAATTTTCTGCCCGAGTGAAAGAGGAAGAGAAGTTTCACCTGCCAGAAAATTTGTGATGAATGCCACCAGTGGCGTAGATAGAGGGGGTCGGGGGGGCGAAAAACTCACCTATAAGGCTAAACTGCCATTTTGTCGGAAAATTTCTGCACTTGTTGGAAAAATAACGATGGTTTTCTG